ACGTACCTGCCTCGCCATGAGCCTTAATTAGACATTACTCAACAATGGCAGACTGTGATCACCACACACACACACACACACACACACATGGCCTCGTGTGTGTATGGACAAACAAAGATCTGGAAAATAAGGGTTCGTTTTAATTGTGCGACTCGCAAAAATATACGGTATTTGTAATAAAATGTTCGGTTTTACACTTCTACCAGTGAGATGTGGAAAAAAAAAATTAAAACAGTTTGTAGAGCACAAATAAGTGTTAAAGTGTTAAATAAGTGTAATTTTTTTTTTTTGGCCAAAGTAGGAAATGCTTCAAAAGTTTTGTAAATTATTTTATAGGCGTGGATGTTGTCGACAGTTAGCGCTAACAACTGTTGTCAACGTTGGAATAACGTGGTGTCCATCTCATCCTCCACTTTAACCTTAGCATTTCAATGTGGTCATTGTTTCCCAAAGACTGGGTCGTGACCCTCAGGTGGGTCGCAAGCGGTTTTTTTTTAAGGTCGCGAAGGTTTGTGACTTTTAAAATATGGATCCCCAGAAAAAAAAAAAAAGTTTGGGAAACTCTGCTCTAATGAACATTTATAAAAACTTGCATTCTTGGACAACAGTTCCATTTCTCCTCATGAATACTGTCTGATTATCAACTGATTTTAGCTCAAGAAAACTAGCAGCAGACAAACAGTGAATGACTAAAGTCACAGATTAGTACTTCAGTGAGTACTGCGTCTTCAGATTAGATTAGATTAAAGTCATTTCACAGAGACTGCGGTGGATATGATCAACATCATCACGTCACGTGACGCCAGGCTGAGGTGCTACTTTAGCAGGAACAGATAAATAAATACACGTATTGGCAGAAGAACTTCCTGCAGAGTTTTTTTTTTTGCACCTCAAACCAAGATAACACCTCACTGTTACTCGCTGCGTTCGCACCGGTTCCAGATTCCAAATGACCTGTGATGTTCACATGTGGCCTCGAGTGAAAAGACAGCGGAAAAATGATACCTGTCGTTGGTGTAATTTGTTAGATTAACAATTTGGTGATGGAGCAACAACAACAACAACAACAACAACAACAACAACAACCTGTTTGTTTACAGCCGCGACACATTTAGGTTCCCCTCCGTTAACAATCCTCACGGGAGGAATAATGAATGTTCACTTCTGAGAAATGAGACAAAGAGACAATAGTTTAATGACGACTAACAGTGGATTAGGATTAACTTGTATTTTTGGGTAAAGTAGTTAGCTCGTACCAAAGTAGTTAGCTAGCTAACATTCCTAAACTGTTGTGGATTAATCACGATTAATTGAGATTAAGAAAAAAAAATTCATAAAAATGACGGTGTTTTTGTCAAACTGTTAAAGCACTTTGAGCTGCATGAACTGTGCTACACAAATATAGTTATTATTATTATTATTATTATTAATATAGAATTGTGTATGAATATATATATATATAAATATCAAGAAAAATATTAAAAATATAAATACATTCTGGAGTTTAGTCGTTACTGTAATACCTCTAGAAAATACCCAGAGTTACTTTGGTGAATCTCTGACTTTTTTAGAATCCATATGACAACCGTGTCAGTCAGGCTGTCAGCCACAGACTGAGTTACTGCAGCTGGTCTGACAGCAGCTGGTCAGCTGACCTGAGACCAGCGGTACCATCGTGCAGATCCAGGTTGAACCTCGACCTCACTCTGTGGCTGCAGGGACTGGCTACACCCGCTCTGCCCCGTGACCCTAGAAAGGAGTAAGCTAGCATCTAGCATGTGAGCGCTACAACCGCAAAGTTAGCGTTGGACTGAATTGTGGGATATCTGTTGGGAGTGAAGCCCCAAACTCTCATTTTACACCAACTCTGGATCCACTGAAATACACCGAGTGACAGGAAGTGATGAAAGAATGACAGCGAGTCGAGCAGCAAACTTTGTGGAAAAGCCTCGCTCTCAGAGAATGTTATTACCTTTTTCATTTTCTTTTTCTTTAAACCAAACGCGTGTGTGTGTGTGTGTGTGTGTGTGGCCAGAACAAGTTGACGATTGTTTGTGTTTTGGTGCACGAGGACGGGTCACGGCCAGAGCAGCGCCGGGGTGGACCGCTGCCCTCCCTCACTTAAGTCAAAAGAGGAATGGAGGAGATAAGCTCAACTGTCCCTCCCTCCACCACCCACACA